AGATTCAGAGGAAGTAAATTTTCAGTAGGGTTACATTCTTAATTAGGCATATGCCTCTTTATATAGAGGGTATTTTATTTTTCATATCACGTTGAGATTTTAAACACAGTTTTGAGCTGAGATAGAACAGCTGCCTTTTACATAGGAATTCCAACGCGAGTGGATTTTACTTACGCACAAGTGCGGGCCCTTTAATTTCCGCGCAATTCCGCACAATACAAGAACAGTTGCGCGCAATTCCGCGCAACGGAATTCTAATTGGAAACCCTACTTTTACACAAAGCCCAGGCCACTGTTTCATTGAAAAAAGTTTATTGCGATGCTCTCCGCTTATTTTCTTCTACTTTTGATATTTGTGCATTTATTTATTTTTCTTAAGGAATATTTATGTCTAATGTAAAGACTATCATGCGAGTAATTTAAAGACTCTCTTATTTATCCTGAGATATAAAAAATTCATTCAAGATTTATTGCAATTCTCGGGACTAATCAGAAAATTTAAAAAGAAAGAATCATTTTAAAAACTTGTATCCGCCTAATTTAAAAAATTGCTTGCAGAAAACACTAGATTACGAGTCTTATAAGCATATTTAAGCATTAAATCTTGGAGATAATCCAATATGATATGGGACGCTCTGTATGTTCTTTTTAATAAAAAATCTTATTAACATTTTAGGGAACAAAAACTGCAGCTTAAAGCTTCTAGTACACAAAAGACTTCAACAGGTTTGTGTTTATAGGAATGCAGTTCTTTAGCCTTTTTTTAAATGGATCGAGTGGCTGGCCCAGGTTTGGTAAGAGGCATCGAAAAATCATTTAATAACCCAAACGAAAAACGTAATCTAGACCTACTACCTAGCCAGGCACTCCCTGAAGGAGGTCCAAATCACGTTGTTTTATTATTCATGTCATTCGTGTTCAACGGTAATCAACGGTTTTAACAAAACAGATCTAGAAATCTTTCCAGTTGTAGCTCCTGAACTTGAATCAAATTTTGATTTGATAGAATTCATTATTGCCGAGCATTAAAATGTATTAGTTAAACATGAATGCTAATCAAAAATCGTTCTTAATATCTATAAGAATCTGGGTTTAATTCAATGTTTTCGTTAAAGTTGTCGAAGAAATTAAATGTTATTTTTTTAATTGTTTTTTTTTTGCATGGATTAAAAATCTAAAAATGTATTCAAGTCTCCCTGATCGAAAATTAGGCAAATCCAACGTTTTTTCAGAACCAAAAAGTAAAATGTAATAAATGATTAGAAAAAATATGTTCACCTTATAATTAATATTCTATTAAAGCATTACTAATCAGTTTTAGAAAATACATTTTTTCAAATACAGAGGACGGATAAACATAATCTAGAAACAGAGTAAATTAAAGAGCTTATAACTGGTTAATCCCAGTTTTAATTATAGTTTAATACATTCAATAGTTTTTATCTCCGTTTAACACATTTGTTATGCATGTTTAAGATTGATGGAGACATTTTTACATTTACGGTTTAGAAAAATGAGTCCAGATCAATTTGCAAAATGTCATAAATAATGTTTCGTTTATACATTTTCATAAACTGATGATTTTTTTTCCGTCCAGATTTTGATATTCCGATGTTTTCCCCCTACATTTGATAGTCCGATATTTTTCTAAAGATTGATGTTCCGATGTTTGGTTTCTAGAATTTGATATTCCGATGTTTTTTCTCTATATTTTGTATTCCAACACAATTGCTGGGCGTAATTGCGTCCAACATTCTTGTGTTTGTGTTTCAAAGGTTTTTAGTCTTTGCCACAAACTCAAATTTTGTAATCCCTAAATCTTTACAGCCTGATTTTGTAAACCTTTGACATTTCTAACGTGAATTATTTGATCTAACAGAATTCCTAGTTTGAAATATCTAAGGTCTACGCCATTACATTGCTAAGATATAGGAATTTGAAAACAGACTAAATTCCTTTTTGATAATCTTCAATTTAAAACTTATGTCACGCAAAAAATGCAATTAATTATTACGCAATTTCGTTCAACAACAAAAAAACTCAATTTAAACTATGGTAGTGGCATGTGCAAGAAACTGAACTTCGCTAACATTTTAGTCTCAAATGCTAAGAAAATTGAATTTAAACTTAATCTTTTATTTTATGATTCATTCATATGCAGCATGATAACCAGAAAACTGTGACATAGGAAGACGACATTTTAGACTCAAGCATACCCATTTGAATGAATAAGGGATTTAATAAGTTACTACTTAAATTTTGTTGCTTTGTAACGACATCAAATACACTGTACAGTTCTACAGTTTATTGTATATGCCGCTGATGTTTCGTTTCTAGATTTTGATATTCCGACGGTCCATTTCTTGATTTGATATTCCGATTTTTTTCTTCTAGATTTTGCTATTCCGATGATATATGTTGTAACTCCGACCTACACCCGTCCAACCCAACTGCCTGATCTTACAAGGTATGCCTATAGGGTGCTATGCAAACTGATCTATTTACAGTCAAAGGATCGATGTGCTCTTTCCAGATATTAGGGTGACCGGTATACCGACCCAGCCATCTCAACCAATTGCACTTTTACTCTTTCTTAAGTCCTACAAACATTGGTGGTATTTCACTCTTATAAATACATGGGGGGGAGGGGGTGAATTGCCTTCAAATTATTTCCATGGCATCTCCAATGGTTGTAAGTGCTCCTTTTTGGTGCTCCTTCTTAAATCTAGTCTGTTAAGTTAATTTCAAGTGGCCTTTCAAGTACAATTTACATCCACAACTGTATTCTTCAGGGCTTTATCTGATAAATTGTATGAATTATATTTCAATGCTTAAAAATTTTTAAAACTGATTATTTTCAACTGTGAATTTTATAAAAAAAAATTTATCAATTGAATCTCTAACAAGTTACTTGTGCAATATTATTGTAGAAAATCTTGGAGAGATAAAAACTTGCCAGACTTTATATTCACATTTATGAATAAAAAAAGATTTCTATGGTACCGATTTGAATCGGACACGTCTCTCTGTAATGAAGGGTCACTAGCAATTACGCCAACAGTCCCTTTAACTTAGTTCTGAAAGCAGTCAAGGGAATGTTTAGTATTGAATAATGAAATATTGAAATATATGTATTTTCCAACTTATCTATCTTAAACAGCATAATAATGGGAAAATCGAACATTTTCTCACGATGCGCTCGAATGTTCGAAAATGTCGTCTCCTAAGTAAAAGACAATGAAATCTATAAATGATGTCAGAAATTCCTACACTTGCCTCTACAATCAGTAACGTCATTTACGGATTTCATTGTTCACTACTTAGGAGACGACATTTTCCGCACATCGAGAGTAAACAACCTCAATAAACAACCTTGGTTTCCATCATAAACCGCGCTAAAGAAAATTTCTGGAAAACGTGCCTACTCCCCGAAGAGGTTTTCCTGTAAAAATGTTATTAAACATTACTGGGCACTTTAAAAATTTGCCCATGACAATAACTTTTTAACGAGAAAGTTAATAAGATTTAAAATTGTTTTAACTTCTTTTCTTGAATATGACACAGAGCTTCTTTAAAGGGACTGTAAACGTAACTTTAAAGTGAAATTCAATATATTATATAGAGTCGAATTTTTAAACACGTTAACGAATTGAATTAGAATTTAAGGCATTTTAGACAGGAACTCGAAGAAATATCTTCACCATTTTAAAACAGATACGGGTTCACATGGTATTGTTCTTAATCGTACATGCCAATCTTAAATTAGAGGGGTTCTTGTACTTTCCGCGTACAAACACCTTTTAAACAGGACTACTTCAGGTTGGCTAATACACTGCGGCTAGTACCACGGATACACTGGATAGTTGCTGAGGATAGAAATACGACAACTAAACCTGTAGCAGATCTTCTAGCAGCCTCAAAGCTAAGGTAATATGAGTATCACACCTGCTAGCAGTGTCACAACTCAGATAATATGAGTAGCACACCTGCTAGTAGTGTCACAACTCAGGTAATATGTGTAGCAGACCTGCTAGTAGTGTCACAAATCAGGTAATATGTGAAGTAGATCTTCTAGCAGTCTCAAAACTCAGGTAATATGTGTAGCAGACCTGCTTGTAGTGTCACAACTCTGGTAATATGTGTAGTAGATCTTCTAGCAGCCTCAAAGCTAAGGTAATATGAGTAGCACACCTGCCAGTAGCCTCACAACTCAGGTAATATGTGTAGTAAATCTTCTAGCAGCCTCACAACTCAGGTAATATGTGTAGTAGATCTTCTAGTAGCCTCACAACTCAGGTAATATGCGTAGCAGATCTTCTGGCAGCCTCAAAACTAAGGCAAATGTGTAAGAGAACTTCTAGCAGCCTCACAACTCAGGTAATATGTGTAGCAGATCTTCTAGCAGCCTCACAAGCCAGATAATATGTATAGCAGATCTTCTTGCAGCCTCAAAACTAAGGTAATATGTGTAGCAGATCTTCTAGTAGCCTCACAAGTCAGGTAATATGTGTAGCAGACCTGCTAATAGTGTCACAACTCAGGTAGTATGTGTAGTAGATCTTCTAGCAGCCTCACAACTCAGTTAATATGTGTAGCAGATATACCAGCAGCCTCACAACTCAGGTAATGTGTGTAGCAGATCTTCTAGCAGCCTCACAACTCAGGTATTATGTGTAGTAGATCTTCTAGCAGCCTCACAACTCAGGTAATGTGTGTAGCAGATCTTTTAGCATCCTCACAACTCAGGTAATATGTATAGAAGATCTTCCAGCAGCCTCACAACTCAAGTAATGTGTGTAGCAGATCTTTTAGCATCCTCACAACTCAGGTAATATGTATTGCAGATCTTCCAGCAGCCTCACAACTCAGGTAATATGTGTAGCAGACCTTCTAGCAGCCTCAAAACTCAGGTAATATATGTAGCACACCTTCTAGCAGCCTCACAACTCAGGTAATATGAGTAGCAGACCCTATTGTAGCCTCAAAACTCAGGTAATATGTGTAGCAGACCTTCTAGCAGCCTCAAAACGCAGGTTATATGTGTAGCAGACCTTCTAGCAGCCTCGAAACGCAGGTATAAATAGCAGACTTCATTATTCATAGTTTAAAATATCAAAGACCTATGATAGGTTGTAAAGATGATAAAATAGGAAAATACTAAATACACTTATAACTTTATATTGTATCTAATTACAGATGATTTTCTTCTTAGTTTTACTCCACTTTTTAGATTCACTCATTTAGCTGCTGAAAGACCTCATGAGTTAATTGGAAAGGTAAATAAACATTTTTCTTATAAAGAGAGAGTTAAAGAGGCAGAGGAAGTAAATAAACAGTATTTTGGTAAAGAGAGAGTTAAAGATTCAGAAGAAGAGGGTTAAAGATTCAGAAGAAGCCAATTTATAGTGTTCTGGTAAATAAGGAAGTAAAGAGGCAGAAAAAATAAATTAACAGATCTCTGGTTAAAGAGACAGGTAAAAAGACAGAGGAATGAACAGAGTTCTGGTAAAGAGAGAGGTAAAGAGGCAGAGGAAGTAAATAACCAGTGTTTTGGTAAAGAGAGAGGAAAAGAGATTCAAAGGAAGTAAATTTTCAGTGTTCTGGTAAAGAAAGAGGTAAAGAGGCAGAAGAAATAAATTAACAGAGTTCTGGTAAAGAGACAGGTAAAGAGGCAGAAGAATTAACAGAGTTCTGGTAAAAAAGACAGGTAAAGAGGCAGAGGAATAAACAGAGTTCTGGTAAAGAGAGAGGTAAAGAGGCAGGGGAAGTAAATAAACAGTGTTTTGGTAAAGAGAGAGGAAAAGAGATTCAGAGGAAGTAAATTTTCAGTGTTCTGGTTAAGAAAGAGGTAAAGAGGCAGATGAAATAAATTAACAGAGTTCTGGTAAAGAGAGAGGTAAAGAGGCAGAAGAATTAACAAAGTTCTGATAAAGAAAAAGGTAAAGAGGCAGAGGAAGTAAATAAACAGTATTTTGGTAAATAGAGAGGTAAAGATTCAGAGGAAGTAAATTTACAGTGTTCTGGTAAAGAAGGAGGTAAAGAGGCAGAGGAAATAAATTAACAGAGTTCTGGTAAAGAGAGAGGTAAAACAGAGTTCTGGTAAAGAGAAAGGTTAAGATTCAGAGGAAGTAAGTTTACAGTGTTCTGGTAAGAAGGAACTAAAGAGACAGAGAAAGTAAATTAACAGAGTTCTGGTAAAGAGAGAGGTAAAGAGGCAGAAGAAAAAAATTAACAATGTTTTGGTATTTTAAAAGAGAGGTAAAGAGAAAGAGGAAGTAAATTAGCAGTGTTCTGGTGGAGAGAGAGTTAAGGAGGCAGAGGAAGTAAATTAACAGTGTTCTGGTAAAGAGAGAGTTAAGGAGGCAGAAGAAATAAATATACAGTGTTCTGGTAGAGAGAGAGTTAAGGAGGCAGAGGCAGTAAATAAACAGTGTTCTGGTAGAGAGAACGTTCAGGAGGCAGAGGAAGTAAATTAAGTGTTCTGGTAGAGAGAGAGTTCAGGAGGCAGAGGAAGTAAATTTACAGTGTTCTGGTAGAGAGAGAGTTCAGGAGGCAGAGGAAGTAAATTTACAGTGTTCTGGAAAGAGAATTAAAAACTGGAAAGGCCGGGCAAGGGGAGGTAAAAAGCAAGATATTAGGAAAGTGAAAGAGTTAGAAAGGAAATTGGTGGAAAGGAAGGAAGAGAATAAATTTCGGAGAACTTTTCCATATTTGAATTTAGTTCAAAGTATTTATTAGAATATTGCCACTCTTCGTGAATTAACTTTAAAGGTTCTGTCGACGTAACTTTAGTGTGGCATCCATTTTTAGTGTGGCATGCACAATTTACAACGGTACCTCTTAAATCTACAATTGATTAGTAATTCATTGCAGATATTGTCATTTTTCAAGCGGGAAAGTTATAGATTCCTCCAATGTTTCTGATGCAAAAATGCACAACTAAATTTATAAAGAAATCACAATCGAAAATGATCAATTTTCAAGGCGAAAATGGTTGAATCTTTTACCATTTTTAAACCTTAGAAAATAGGATACATATTTCAAACCGAGTAAATGAAAAAGGGTATTGGAAAATGTAAATATATTTTTAACTGTTGAAATCATTATGATTTATATTGAATGATTCTGTATAAACATAAAACGGTTTAATTAAAAAAAATTATGAAAAAGAGGGATACAAAGAAACTGAGTTCTAGGTATAAACTCAAATCTCCTAATCCCATATATCTTTGCATCTGGTGGTATAAACTTTTGATATTTTATAACTATTCTATTTATTCTAACAGAATTTTTATTTCTTATTTGCTGAAATAGGTGATTGGTCGAGGTGTGTTTAACCGAAGAGCAGCTCTTGACTGGATTAGAACCTATGCTGAGCCCTCAGGGGTTATATACTTTGCTGATGATGATAATTCCTACGATGTTCGAATATTTGAAGAAATTCGACAAACACGAGTTGTTGCTGTTTTCCCTGTTGGGCTTGTTCTAAAGTTTGGGATAAGTTCGCCAATAGTTCGACAGGTAATTTTTCGTAGACCGAGATAATTCAAACTAAGCAATTGGCCTTCGGAGAAAAAAAAAGAAAAAAGCACAAAATATTTATTGAAATAATCAAAGCTACTAAAATTCGTTCGGTATTTTTTTGAAAAATTTGAAAATTTAGCAGAACAAAATTTGTTTTATTTGTTTGACATAAAAAATTTTTATTTTAAAATATCTCAATACTAATCTATATTTAAACTTTGGCTTGTCTTGTCTGTTTGTTTGTATCCAATGTATCCAATAAACGTCAAAACGGCTGACCCGATCGGGCCCAATTTTTTTGAGGGACCTCACGTGACCCCAGGGAAGGTTTATGAATGATCAAAATTTGAAAAAATTTGTGCTTAAAGGTTTTTTATTTTTGTAAAATTGTTTAAGAATCTTGCAAATCCGCGATTTTTTTTCATAAAATCCGCGAAATTATTTTCTTTTTTGAATTCAATGTTTATTATGAGAACACGTTCACAATTGAAATAGAAGATGGGCGCGAAGTGCCCTTAAAGCCTAGTCTACATATAAATTTGGCTTGTCTGTCTGTTTGTTTGTATCCAATAAACGTCAAAACGGCTAAACCAATCGGGCCCACATTTTTTATCGGACATCACGTGACCACAGGGAAGGTTTATGAATGATAAAAATTTAAAAAAATGTGTTTTAAAGGTTTTTAATTTTGTAAAAAATTTAAATTCTTGAAAATCCGCGAATTTTTTTTAAAATCCGCAAAATTTTGTTCTTCTTTGTTTCAAAATGTAAACAAAAAGAACATGTTCACAATTTAAATAATAGATGGGCGCGAGGCCCCCTAAAAGCCTAGAAAGAAGGGCGCGAAGCGCCTTGAATTTGTAGTTATAAATAATTTTTCTAGAATTTTTGTGCAATAATATTTTCTATACTTAAACAAATAAATGATGTTTAGGGGACTGTTATCGGATTTTTTGACGCGTTCCTTGGAGGCAGAAAGTTTGCTATGGATATGGCAGGAAAAAAACTGTTCATTTAAGGGACTGTTGACGCAAATTCAAGTTGTGCTGTTCTGTAAATGTCGCATCACTTGAAATTACGTTTACAGTCCCTTTAACCCGTGCAAAATCATCTTGGGCTTTCATTCTATGTTTTGATGAACAGCAAACGTTATAAAGATGTGGAATAAATATCAGTAAATAATCCTAATGCTTCCTCATGTTTCAATATTTAAAAACTCTGACATTTAAGAAATATTATAAAAGCTGGGTTTTCTGGTTGATAAGATGAAAAGGGGGAGAGGGGGGGGAGAGGGAGGATAAGATGAAAAGGGGGAGAGGGAGGATAAGAAAAGTTTCCAATTAAATATAATCTTATGTTCAAAAATGTTGTTGAAAAGAAATTTAATTTGTAAAATTTTTAGAAAATGAAAAGTTTTAATTTGAAGGGTTTTCAGTTTCTGTTAAACATTTGAATTCCAAACCACTAGCTACATTTCCAGCAGCAGTATCATGGCTAGAGGTAAAAATATTATCATTTTTTATTTAAGAAATTTTTATTATCATCCGAATAATTCGTTCTCTTCATGAATCTCTTACCAGTTGGTCATAGAATAACTCCCATCTTTTGGTTTTTTTGTACAATTGAATTTACCTTAAAAACCTACATTTGACTAGCTCAACCTCATCTGAGTACAGAATGATGTGAATCCAGTCTTAAAGCATATTAACTAGTCAATTTCTTTAGTAATATTGATACGGATATATTTGTCACACTCTTAAAACATTCTTAGCACAAATTATCTAATCCCTATATCTTTGCAAGCAAAGGATGAAACCTTTGACATCTCAGACTTAGAATTATTGATCTAACAGAATTCATTTTGTGAAATATCTAAAGTCTACTACATGGAATTGCAAAAATATAGGGTTTAGAAAATCAGAGTTTGTGATAGAACCTCGGTTCCATTTTTAAGTGTCCTTTTAAGTTTCAGGATAAAAAGGAAAAATAAATCCTGTTGCTTTTATTACAAATGTTATCATCAGTGCTTAGGATCTGGATTCGGATCCGCTGGATCCGCAAGATTTTGGCTTCCTGGATCCGGATCCAGATCCGCAAAAATATGTGGATCCACGGATCCGGATCCAAGGGGTAAAATATCAACCAAAAACTGCAAAAAACACTTTTTTACTCCTAAAATCCAAATCTGAACTATTGAAAAAAGAGATTATAAAAATTTCCTGATTTCTTAATGGGTCATAAAGTTTTAGCATAAAAATAAGCGAAAAAAATAAGACAAAAGCCTTAGTAAAAAATTCAGTAAGTCTTAAAGAAATGACTGGGATCCGGATCCACTTTTTTCAGTGCGGATCCAGGACCCGGATCCCGATCGTCATGAAAATTAAATGGATCCTAAACACTGCCTGAAATCCTACTAAAACAAATATGCTATGATAGCCGGGGCTATAGGATCCATTTAATTATGATGCGGAACTGGATCCTGGATCTGCACTGGAAAATAATCCGGATCCAGGTCATTCTTTAAGATTTACTGAATTTAAAAAAAAATGTTCAAATTTTTTGTTTTATTGTTTTCGCTTATTTTTATCCTAAAACTAGCCTGTCTTAGCCTGTCCTAGCCGCAGTGATCGGTCCAGAAATTGTCTTAAACTAGCCTAAATCAAATCAAATCATTCCTAACCTAACTTAACCCTAAAATAATGAAAAATAAAAAATAATATTTTTGCTAAAAACATGTACAAAATATCCCATATCGGCAACAATGCTTTTGTTTCCGGATCAGAAAACGCATTTTCACAGTAAATAAGACGGGGGGAGGCGGGGGGGGGGTCATCTGCGGTATCAGATCCTGTGATGTGTCCTCTACCACTGTCTCCATTGCCCTCTCCTCCAACAGTGCCTGGAATATCATTTTTGGAAATGGCAAAAAAGAATTGTTTTTAAACAAATTTCCCTTCGGTGCAACAGACTAAAGTAGAATCAAGTTATTTTTTTAAATATTTGAAAAGCTGAAAAATATCTTTAGCAATTAATTCCAAAATTTTTGCTTCTACCATAATTTATGTTTCTTCTTAACTTTGAGATTTGTGTGTAAGACCCTTGAGTTACATTATTTTAGGTGTTGTTTAAATACTGTAAACCCACAAAGGATGTAGAACCACATCCTAGTTCATTCAACCCAAGTTAAGTTTTATCATGAGTTTAGAACTGGACAAACAAATAATAATGATTTAACCCGTTATTACTGGAGCTGGTACCAACGGCGAGAGGAAATTTCCATGGCAGCAAGATTCAAATCCTGGNAATTTGTTTGTTATTGTTTAGATTATGCATTTGTTTATTATTGTTTAGATTATGCATCTGGTATAAATACTGCGTTTACATAATAAATATTCAGTCTGTTTACTTCTCTTGTCATTTAAACATCGCTACAGTTTGATATTTGATTTGAAGATTTGTTTTTTTAATATGAACTATTTAGCAAACTATTTGGAACCTTTAACAAATAATTTGAAAAATAAACTAAGAACGAAAAGGTAAGTATCATAAATAATATTAATAATCATAGTAAATATGTCCGTTAATTCTTCAACCTTCATTGTTATATTTAAAAGAATTAAGTCTTTGTTTATATCTCTTCCCTCCATCAGTTCTTAGCCAAAAACAAATGGCTGTCTGACAAATTGGGCCGTTCTGGTATATTAACCAACCGTTCTGGTATATTAACCAACTGTTCTGGTATATTAACCAACCGTTCGGGTATATTAACCAACCGTTCTGGTATATTAACCAACCGTTCTGGTATATTAACCAACCGTTCGGGTATATTAAGCAACCGTTCTGGTATATTGACCAACCGTTTTGGTATATTATCCAACTGTTCTGGTACATTAACCAACCGTTCTGGTATATTAACCAACCGTTCTGGTATATTAACCAACCTTTCTGGTATGTTAACCAACCTTTCTGGTATATTAACCAACCGGTCTGGTATATAAACCAACTGTTCTGGTATATAAACCAACTGTTCTGGTATATTAACCAACCGTTCTGGTATATTAACCAACCGTTATCGAACGGCATGAAAAAAGTCCTAGTTCTATTAACCTGAATTCAAACTTAATACTTTATTCAATACTTTTGTGATGGTTTTATTGAACAATGTTATCCACCCAAAAAATCTATTGTTCTGCATGTTAAAGAAACTGATAGCGTAATTTCAACTGACCCTCTCCATGCAAAGAAAACAATGCCTGATTTACAACGATAAATATACCCTTGAAACCTGAATCTGATCGAAACGTGGTTATTTCTGTGAATTTCTACATTGTTGTTTGTAAGCAATAAATTCAAAAGTTACTTTAGCAGAAAATCCACAAATAAAACTTAACAGTTTAAACAAAAGAACATGCCTGAGCAAACTTGAGCAGAAATCTACTCCTTTTTTATCTTCAAGTTGGTATGTTATAGGAAACTGAAATTTTGCCATAAACTTAAAGTTTCTAATCACTATATATTGCAATCTGATGGTGTAAACCTGAGATACTTCGAACTTAGATTATTTGATCTAACAATTCAAATATTAAAAGATCAAGGTGCACTACATCAGGTTGCAACAATAAATGAATTAGAAAAATTAAAATTATAAAGCACGTGTTTTTAGTCTTAGCTTAATGGAAGTAAATAGCAATAGTTTCTTCAATTTTTATTTTAAAGTTTGCAATTGTTTTATCACATGTGGGTTAAATGTGAGCCGTTCTAGAAATTCTTTTTTTCGAAATCAAAAGCCCTTCCTTTAAAATATTTGATTTAGGAAGGATTCATGAGATCACTGGAGGTAGAAAAAGACGACCTTGAGCCTAAAGCTGAATCTTGTACCAGGTAAAATTCAATAGAATTACTAAACAACATTTCAGGTAAAATTCAAGAAATCAATCAACGTTTTCATTTTAAAAAAAATTTGTTTTCAAAGATACTTTTTTATTGTTTTTTTTTCTCCAATTTTTGAAGTGCCTGCATTGGTTCAAAATGAAAAAATATTTGTCCAAAATTTTGTAAAGAATATAAAATATAAATATAATATATGCTCTTTCTTGAAATTTTCTTATCTCTCTATCGTTGCAACCTAATTGATCTGACATTTCAAACTTAGACAATTTGATCTAACTGAATTCATTGTTTGAAATATCAAAGGTCTAAAACAACATTGGATATCAAACTTAGACAATTTGATCTGACAGAATTCATTGTTTGAAATATCAAAGGTCTAAAACAACATTGGATATCAAAGATGTAGGAATTAGAAAATCAAAGTTTGTTGCAACAACTCAATTCCTTTTTCAATTTTTTTGCCTTTCTAAATACAATTCTGGGCCTAAATATTTCAAAATGTGACAACATATAAAAGACAACACTATACAATAGATATAAGAATTGAACCTGCTTATTTAACATATGAATATGATAGAGGTATAAACGTTAACCGAGAGAATTCAAAGCAGAATAGGGTTTCAAATGTATCTTAGTTCATGGCTCTTTGATAAATACAAGATCTATGTATATCTATCATAGCTCACCAGCACCTAGCCCATCTAACCCAATTCCAAAATCGATTTCCCCTTTTTTGCAGAATCTTTATTTCTATCCTTTTTCCACTTATCTAAATATAATTTCGGAAACAATTTCTTTTACCATATAAATTGAATTTATCTTTCTTGAAAAAATGTAATTTAATAAAATTTCTCGTTTCAAATTAAAATGATGATGAAACGTTTAATAAAAAGTTTAGAGGGAATTATGTCTGATAATATTTTCATTTTCATCTCTTGAAAGAACTACGTTGTTTGGTTTATAACTAGATTCTAAAAATGTATTTTTAAAATATTATTAAAGATTTGAAAAATATTTTTGATTTGCTTCTTCATTTGTCACGCACGTCTGACCCTTAAGTAAAAGTAAATTCAACCTAAAGTCTGACCGGGTCAACCTTGTTTCACCGGCTAGTCCTATTGAGTGTCTGCTTTATTTACCCGGCACTCTATCCCCGTAGTAAATTTGAATTCAACAGGACCTGCCTAGTTTGTACCGGCCTGCCAGATAACAGCGTGTACTGACCCGATCCTGGTACAGTACGTCACCCTAACCAGACTAACATACGACAGGGGTCAATTTTCTTGGCATAGTCCCGTGAGAGGGCTAACTATGACAACTCCCATGGCGCGTTCAGACTTTTTACAGTACCCGGCCTAATCCTAGGCCTATTTGACCGACCCCACTGGTTTAGTCCACCCTGCCAGTGTCAGGGTGATAGAGTCCAAACTGGGACTGGAAAGGTTGTCTCGGCTCGGAAAATCAAATGCACTACGGCTGCCCGTATCGTACGTCTTGGCTTCTTTTTTCACCATTTAAGAATACACCATTAAAAATGCGACACTTTTTATGCAGTGATTTGCAAAATATAAAAAAAAATCAAATAAAAATGAAAAAGCTAGCATCCAGGGAGACCCCGCACAGCGGCCAACGTGACTGTGTCCCCCCCCCTGGAAGAAAAAAATTACTTATCATAAGTTAATTTGATTAATTCTTAAGAGTACAAGGGGGATAAGTAAAATCTATGGTTTTCAAGGGTGTTTAGGGGTGCTGCCCCATGAACGTATTTCTGTGTACGCCCCTGGATAATTTAATCTACACCCAACCAAACTCTAAACTAGCCTAACACGCATGCACGGTGCATGGAACAAACTTATTGGTGTCGTGCCGGGCCTAACAACAAGACGTGTTCACTGTACTGTAAAGTCGGACCAGGTCTAATTCTTGTTCTAGGGTCTGGGTATGGCACACCAGAACAGAGAAAGCAGCTGAGCCTAAACTTCAACATTTACAGGGATTTCATTGCTAAACATTAATTTTTATTCTATCTCATCATTGACCTGCTAGAAAAGAGGGGGGGGGGAGGGGGGGGGTGTACCCTTTAAGACACTTTAAAGTACATTCCTCAGTCTGTCGCAAAAATTGATTAGATAATTTGACTTTTTTTCAAGAATTATTACGTAAATTGTACATTTTGTAAGAATTTTTTGGACTTCATGGACAATTTTTTTATTAATAATTATCGATTATAAGCTTGCAACATGAAAAAAAGAATGTTTTGAATTTTTTTCCTTTAATATCTTTTTTTACTTCCTATTTATTAATCAAGTTTATTTACCTAAGTTACCACTTTATCACAAAAATTAATTCGATAGAAATATGCATCTACACAGTGGTAACCATAAACAGTGGAATTTTACTCGTCTACTTTATTTGTTTCTGTAAAAATGACCATGAGAATGTTGTAAACTCTGAAAACTCCGGTTTATGTAAAGTACCGGACCGGATTTTAGGCCTCTAGGGCAAATTGTACAGTATAGATACAGACTTAGGAAGGGAAAAATGAATCATCTCCGTCTAGTGAGCTGAAAGAGAGTGTTCGCAAAAAAAATTAAAGGGAGTATAGCCTGATATCGAATTGAATTAGATATTAATCGCTCTTTGCTCCTTGGATAATGGCCTCATAAGACAAATTTTTCTTTTTAGACTCAACAGATAGAAATGAAATTAGGAGTGATCAATTTCAAATACAATCCGATATCAGCTTTTACCCCCATTTATTTTTCGCGAACTCTCCAGCCCTTTAATTTGTGTGTAATTTCTCATTGCTGATATAACTGCCATGGTTTAAACTATTCTGTCACATAATCCTTCCAAAATTTTTACCACCTGTTTAAAGATTCAGCGTAAACTGCAGTGTTTATTTTATACACATACGATACGTCGTGTATTATGCGCTGATGCAAACCAAAATGTTCACGCTTTTACACAAAAATGGAGCCGTATTTTGCTATTTTCTTCTTTCAAACTTACGCTTATAGAAACAATCACATTAATAAATGAATATGTCTATGGGCAGGGCTACAGAAAAGTATAAAAAGGTTGGTGAGGTATGTAGTCTGTGGAAAAACTAAAGGCCAAGGCTGTCTAAAAATAGAATAACTTACTCGTAGAGTTGTCTCACTGTGCAGTTCCATTGACCTTACAGAATAATCTAATTTGATGTCTCTTACATACATTTTAACATTTAGTTTATTATTCGTATTTTTCTCATTACATGAACTTGAAAATTACTCCCAACCCCTAGCCTAGAATTAATTGGAATTAATCTGCTTCAAAGTTTTCTGTTTAAAAGTTGAAATAATGGTTAAGCATATTCTTAAACATTATCCAATTTCTTAACAAAGCCTGATACTTCAAAGACGACTGTACATAATTATTCAGCGCCTTCTTCCTTAAATTCTACAGCTGTAGACTTGTTTTCCCTTGGCCAAACCATAATTGCACCATTTAAAGACTACCTTTAATCCAGAATACCAAATTCAACCTTAGGATCGTTTTTTAGAAGAGTCGTCATTTAAGTCTCATCTTTTGAGAGTAATCCTGTATTTAAGTAAGAGAATCTCGCTGTCAGTTGATTATTATGTTGGGTCCAAGGATGTAATGCAAGGAAAGTTATTTCAGAAGTGTACACATCTTTTGTATTGCACTGTACTGTCTAAGAGCGGTAATGTAAACACAAGACGAATGTCAAAGTCTGACATGGGATCCATCTTTCACATAAAAAAAAAAAATCAATGAAATATTCTGGTCATAGGAAATTTTTATGTGAATTATCAAAATTATCAAAATTTAATGCTTTTAACCTCCTCGGATACTAAACGAACACTGATGCATATATCTATTCTTGTTTACAAATTCCGCCCAAAGAGAACTGGTTTCAATATGTACGCAGAGTATACACGACCGCAATTAACTTTCCTTGCATTATAACCTCGGTCGGGTCTAATATTAAGCTTGAAGTTAAATTGAATTAAATTTAAGTAGAAAGATAAAAAAAATCATTGTTTTGAGAGATTTCTTGAAAATCTGTTATTGCGGATGAATTTAATCCTGGGGTGTTTCGTTTATGCTAAAAATTAAAGTGAATTTTCTCAAATTTAGATTACCTAAAAACTAAGAAGAGGTTAGATAATCTGTGGCCGAATTTAAAGAATTTGAGCGGCGGTTTAAATTTAAGTCGCGGCTTAAATATGGTTGGTTCCACTTAAAATTGTATCAAATGTTTCAAGATTTACGCCGGCGCTTATTTTAAACCGGGTTTTGGCAGATTTAAACCGCGGCTCAAATTCTTTAAATTCCATCTCTGAGCTCGAAACTTTTGTGTATTAAACTTAAACGCTTGAGCTCAATATCCAATGTGGGTACGCCTTTTTAATTTTGCGGATCAATGCTTGAAACCTTAATAAAATTTAGCCCTGCAGCCTTGCAGAGTATGGCCATTATGTGATATCGAAGGGGAATTAAGTTAATCCGCGGATCTTCAAAAGATTGAGATCAATTAGGGTTTCCATTCGCAAAATTTTTGCGGAAGAAATGGAAAATTGTTGCTTTTGTGCACCCCACTTTTGCGCGAATAATATCACTTTGCACAATCATTGGCAAACTTCATTTCACGCAAAATTGCGCTATTCGGCTTTTGCGTTATTCTTTTTTGCCTAGTTTTGCGGAACATAGTTTCATTAAAAGGTTGATTAAAGGCGTAAATTGTATATATAAGTTAGGGGAACTGATTACATGCCTAAAACTCTACTTTGCAAATCAAGATGTGCAGTGACGTGCAACGCTCTAACGCAAAAACCATGTAATATTTTGCCAACTACTCTGTTAAAACTTAAGTTAGAAACAGACACATTGTATTTATTTCTAAGCCTAGAAAAAAGGATTAATAAGTTGTTAGGTAAAACCAAAGGCCAAGGCGTTGAGACTCTTTAAAATTGAGTTTATATAGAAATTGGATAGCTTAGGGCTGTCTTTATCACATTGGGCATAAGTCATAACCCTTTAATTTCAATTATTTGCATTCCACTTTTAAAATATCAAAGGTTGCCACCACACAAAGATTCAGACATCTAAAACAAACTATGCATAAATTATTCAATTTTCGATTTTTAATTTTCCGAATTATTTTTTTTTATCAATTTTTGTCTCTCAATTTGAAGTTTTTGTGACAAAAAGTAACCATTTAAAAGTAGCATAATCATAATTTTGTTTGTACGTAAATTTTTAATAAACCTTCAGTTGTTTGATTATGTGCTGAAACTTGACTTAAACCCTCAATTTCGGTCAGTTTGCTTAAAAATATTATTTTTTGCGCAATAATTTACGTTTTTGCGCAAATTATGAAAAAAAATATTGCGCTTCATGCGCAAAAGTTTGTAAAAAAATAGTTGCGCGAAAATTATAAATTATAAATGCTTGATCTAGAAAATTTGAGCTGGGTCTCAAATTTGAAACTTTGCTCAAACATGGTTGGTTCCAAATAGATTATCAAGTACAATAGTTGGCAACAGATAAATGAACCAATTATTCACGACGCCAAGTGTCAAATGTAACAAGGAAGAGGACAGTTTACTTACGCTCATAAATGCCAAATATATATGTATAGATTTTTAATTAATTTGTGCATTACAGCACTTTTTTGTATTTTTGTATATTTTTAACGTGTTTCTAAATTTGGTCAAATAGGACACTTCAGAAAAAAATTAAATACCCATAAAAACAAAAAACAAAAAAAGAAAACTACCTTTTCTTGTTGTCTGCATTTTCCTCGGATCTGGAGGTTTAACCTCAGTAAAACCTTCTCAAAGGACTTCACTGAATATGTCCTCTGACTTTTGAAAAAAAAATTATCTTGTGCCTAAAACCAAAACTTGATAAAACTAGATACAGAATAAATTCGAGAATCTTAAAATTTGAAATTTGAAAATCTTTTTAAGTTGTTTTATTTTATTTTTAGTTAAAATCTTATTTAAATTGTTTTATTTTCTCACTATACAGACTACAGACCCTGTCACATTTTATTGTACCTTATTTTCTGCACCACACTCTTCTTCATTCTTCTCTGCGCTCTAATTTTCCATCATGTTCTTGGTTAAATTTTGAAATTTTTTGACGCCCTTAAAACCACCAAGAAATTGCCGTTTCAGAATTTTTTTGCATACGCCTTGTTCCTACATTCTATGTGTTTTATGATTTGTGTTTTGATTCAGCAGATTCATTTTCTGCTTGAGCTATCAGTTTTCAGTTTTATTGCCTAACCAGGAATACCTGACCTGGCAAGATGATCAAACTTGAAGGTATATGCAGGGGGTGTAGTTGAGGGGCCATATGGGAAATTATCTCAAATTTGAAAGTTTGTAATAGGTTGGGAAGAGGAATTGTTTATCGCTGAAAAAGCCTACTTTTTGCTTGATATATTTCCGACTAGTGGAGTACAAATATCCTTTATATACTCAACAAATTATTTGAAAATCCTTAAAAACGAAACTAATGGCGAGAGGAAAAACATTTCTTTGAAGCTTTGAAAAATTTAATTGCATTTATGATTATATTTGCCAAAACTATTTATAAATACTACTTTTCAAACCAATCTAAAGTTTTGAGATCATGCAAAACTTCGATCAAAACAAAACTAAAAAATACATATTCTAAAATTTATAGAAATACTAAATATTGTTGAGAGGAATTGAGTCTTTTCCACACACTCAAATTTTAAACCTCTATATCTTTTCAACCTAATAGCGTAATCCTTTGATATTTCAAACTTAGACTATTTGATCTAACAGAATGCATAGTTTGAAATATCTAAGGTCTACACATTTGGTTGAGAAGATATAAAAATTAGAAAATAAGATTTTGTTGCAAAGACTCATTTCCTTTATGCAATAACTGTAAAGGGAAACCTATATATATGAATTAAAACATTAATACAAATCGAACAATTAAACAGATGAAGTAACAAAAGCA